AAGATGTGAAACTTGTAACATTAGACTTTTTTATATGAAAATTATGAAATGTCAAATCCAAAATAATTGCAAATATAGTAAAAATCATGTGAAAAATATATCTTATGAACAACAAGAAAAAATAGAATGAAATTAGATTTTTTTTGAAAATTTTGATTTTTATCATGCATATAACACTTTAAATTTTATTTGGATTCAATAATTTTCTTATAAATAAATATGATAAGATGAGTTTGAAGTTTTGAATTGGTAAAAAAAAAACATTCAAAGGGACTATATTAACTTAAATTTAGGAAATAAAAGACTAAAATGAATATTTTAAAACTAAATGACCAAAAAGTGAATATATAAAATAAAATAAAGGACTAAAATTATAATTTAACATAAATAAAATTGTTTAAAAGTTTTTTTTTCCCAAATTGCTAGTTTGTCATTAAAGTAATTTAAAAAATTATTTTATATATTTTTAAATATTGCAACAAGTTTACATTTAATAATAATTTATAATAATGATGCACTATTCTTTTGTGATTGTTGGGTTGTATTTGAGAGTCTTATATTGAACAATATTGTTATTTGTTAATAGTAATTAACACCTTATTTGGTAAAAACATATTCTTCTATAGTAATTATTGAAGTGAAAGTATTATTTTTAGTGTCTTGTGTTAATTTTTCTGAGATTGGTAATTGTGGCATGATGTGTTATGATTTTTCAAAAGCCTAGACGGGTAAGTCGAGAGATCCACAATAACATGTTGCATGTTCGCATTTTATTTTGTTCAATTGATTTTGCTTCAATCTTGCAATTATTTAATTTAATTTGTGTGTTAGGACATGATCAAGGCATTCTTAAAATTTTTGAGTCACTAGTCAAAAAACTTACTTGAACTACTTTTATTTACCTCTTTGAACGAAACAATGAATTTTCTTATATTTCATTAGAACTTGTTAACCTACACCTTTAGGATGTGGAGAACTATAATTAGTTATAATAGGATAAAAAATATTATACATTTGGTGTAAGTGTGTATTACACCCATTAGAACAAGACTCTAAGTTTGGTGTTGGTGTATCTTATACCCACAAAAAGTTTTAGGAAGGCAAGATAACCTAGGCATTCATGTAAGTATGGAATATTAAGTGCTCATTTATTGCAAAAATAAAAGTTAATATATATATATAATAAATAAAAATAATTATGTAATAGATAAAAGGTGAAAGATGAGAAGGTGCCCAAGAAAATGTGGATAAAATTGTTTAAAAAAGGTTTAAATATCATGAATAGTGTCATCTTATTCTTAGGAGTTTTGACTCCAGAAAAATAATAAATTCCTTTGCAATTTGACTCCATATAAGCCAAGAAGTTCTTACGATTCTTGCACATTTGTGTTGTCATGTAGTGGTTCCAAAAGGAAAAGATGAAGAACAAAACTGAATTGGATGGTATTTGATGCATGAATTGAGATAAACATTAACCCCTTTTTGATTAAACAAATCAAGAATAGTGAGAAGAACAAGTGTATTGAAAATTCATAACTTTGAGTGTCATGATAGCTAGTCTCTTTGAAAATTTTTCATACATTTTTCTAATGTGGATTTGATGTCATTACCATGGTGGATGATGTGATTACTTAAATAGTTAAGAAAAGGAACTTATAAATAATGAGATTTGTTCAACTTGATTTTTTCTTAATGTATCCAATTTTTTTAGAATAGATTGTGTTAGGTTTATGTTTGTACGAGAACAAGTAAGATTCTAAGTTTGGTGTGTTTTGATAATTGTAAAATATGTCAATATCTTTAATCCAATTTAGACATTATCTAACATATTTTATGTTTTAGAGTCCTACTTTTGTCAAAATTTAGTATTTTAATTTATCACATTAACTAGTAGAATTTTTTTTTTTGTTTTAGTTTTAGGTATTTTTGATGGTTTTTTTGTTAGTTTCAAGATGTAGGAGGAATGAGCTAATGTCAAAAAAAGCTAACATTATGAGCGTTCGCTTAAAGCGAAAGAAAAGTGTACTCTAAGTAACTTCATGCTCACTCAAGTGAGCTAAATAGATGCTTTGAGTGAACCAACTCATAAGAAATTCTTAGAGCACCATAAAGAGTTCATTCAAGCAAACCATCTAAATGCTTTAAGTGAGTGGACATCACAAATCCACTTGGAAAAGGCTCATTTAAAACATTAAAAGAATAGGTTTCGGAGAGAATAAAAAAAATACTTCACATATTGTATATTTTAGATAGGTTTGAGAGAATAAAAAGAGTCATTGTTGGAAATTGATGTAGCTACTCTACACCATGTAATTCTTCATGCTTTTATTCTATTAATGTTTTTATTCAATTAATTGTTTTCTTCTTCTCTTTATGTATGGTTTTGGCTTGACCACTACAAGAAATGTTACATGTAGTGACATACAAAAAATGTCACTATAGGTACAATATATGTAGCTATATGTCTATTTGACATATAGTTACACACAATTTTAGTGTTGATTTTGAATGAGATTTAACAACATATTTTGTGTGTCACTATAGTCTATACCCACAATTTTTAATAATATACCAACATATATTGTAGTTATTGTGTGAGTAAAAGTAATTTTTAGTGACATATATAATGTCACTATAGGGTGTGTGTCACTGTATGACAATTTTGTTGTAGTATTTCTATATGATCCTATATAATTAATTGAAGTTGAGAAACTCTTTTAAAATTATGATATGGAGAATAACACTAATAACACTTATTACTATGAAAAGAATAAGTCTTATTAGTCAACATTTTAGACATCTAATCTTAATGTGAGTTGCTTATTACTATGAAAAGAATAAGTCTTATTAGTCAACATTTTAGACATCTAATCTTAATGTGAGTTGCTTATTACTATGAAAAGAATAAGTCTTATTAGTCAACATTTTAGACATCTAATCTTAATGTGAGTTGCTTAACAAACTTCACCAAATAATTAAGATTTTCCTTAAGGTATCTAGAATTTCTCACCTAAGAAATTAGGATTAAAATATTATTGTTGGTTGTTGAATTAACTTGATAATTATTGAAATTGAATAATAATCGAGAAAAATATATGTGAGAAAAGTTAGTGAAATCAATCATTGACATCTTTTATTTTAAAATTTTCAATTATCTTTTCAATCTTTTTATTATTCTAAATCCCTAAAAATATCTCATTTATCTTTATTGCATTCTTCAAATAATTTTATTTTTTTCTAATTAGCATTAAATTATATTAATTAGTTGTTATATAAGTATTTACAAATTCGATATTTATACTTATGTTTATTTTACTACTTAAGACAATTGATATACTTGCTAAATGGTCTAACAAAAATTAAAATAAATTTAATTTTTTTATCTTTATAATTTTATTTACTTTTCTTTTTAGTTTTAATAATTTAAAATATTTCTTTAATTTTAGTCTTGATACATACTTTTTATTTCCTTTCGATCACTGTTGTTTATTTTCATTAACATCATTTTCGTCCCGATGACATACATGTCACACTCTAATGTAGCAATTTTAACATGATTTTTATCTTGTTTAAATACATTTTTAGTGTCTATAGAGTTATTTATTTTGCATTTTAGTGCTACAATTTCTTCTACTTACACTTTCAATTCTTATAGTTTAAATATTCCTATTTAGTCTTTATCATTTATTTTTTATTAATATATTATTTGTGTTGTGATGATTTCACAAAGACCATTTGAAATTGACATTTTCTACATGATTTTTTTATTTGTTAAGTTATTTTATATTAAGTTTCATCATAAACTATCATGACTTTATGTTTGATTTAAAGCGCAAGATTACGATGACTATTGCTGAGTTTTAGTTGTTAATTTTCCACAATGAAGTAATGACATCATAATTTTGTAATTTAGTCTCATAGATCTCATGTTAAAGGTACTAATAATATCATTTTTTTTTATAATTTTTAATAAATTTTAGTTAATAATAAAAATATGCTTAGATTTCTTTCGATCATTTAGCTTAACTCCTGCGTCGGCTTATTAATGCGTGGGTTGGAAACTCGGACATTTCATAATTCTACAATTCAATTTGAATTAGAATAGAAAGGATGTTTCTGCATAATGGCATTATATATGAAACTTTTTATAAAGCGTTTATGATTTCTTCAGTACTACACTTCTATGAGTATAGTGGAAATGATATCATTATAATATTGATGTGGTCCCAGTAATTTAATGTCAAGTTGAAACTCATCGTTACTTTCAATTCTCAATAAATATAGTATGAAAACTTCAATATTTCACAAATATCCAACTGATGTCAATTAAGGTTAACAACAGTTAATCTCCTAAAGTTAAGAAGAAAAAAGAACCTGCTGAGCCCCTGGTTCCTCCGAGAGAGACAAATCCAGGGGAAGAAACGAATAAAAATCTAGGTGTGGATAGTGCTATTTATAGAACTATTAGTCAATTTTATCTAATTGATTAAATTTTCAAAAGAATTAGTTGTTGACATATGGTACAGAGCATTTTTTTTTATCGAGTGGTGAAGAATTCAATTCTTGCCTTCCCTATTTCTTTTATAAAAATAAAATAAAAAAAATAGAACACTTTACAAATACTCCACATAAATATCTTACTCTAACATGAACTTTTGTTTTTTTTTTATAAAAAAAAATACTGCACAAAATTAACTCTGTATGAATATGCTGTAATGCTGTTCGATTCTGCCATTTATTATGTCACACGCATGCGATGACAATATCTACACCAAGAACACTAGGCATATATTTTTTGTGAGGTAAGTTCCTTAGTTTAATACGATTCCTTTATTAGCTTAGAAGTGTTCAATATCCATGTTATCGTTAAGCAATAATAACAATAATTCCTAACAAATGTATGCAAATATCTATTTTGGATATAAAACAAAAAGATAGAGTTCTGACATGAACTGCCTCTCAAATAAATTTACATTTAACAGTTCACATAGGGTCAGAAAGCTTGTATATAGGGAGAATTGCATTAACAAAAACAAGGATATGTGTTATTGTGTATGTACATCAGCAAAAAGAAAAACCAAAGGGGTAAAACCAATAAAACTCAAAAACCATACTTGTGTCATTATTAGCCTCACGAGGCATTACTTGCATTTGCGCAACTGCAACAAATAGAACAAAAAACCTTACTAGCTAGATTAGAAAGTTCTATAGAGTAAACTATTATATAATTCTAGGCCTAAGCATATCTCTGTGACTGAGAGAAACCGGTTTCATAATACAATATCCATTTTTAGAGCAACATCCATTCTTGGTGTGTCTTCTAATGTTATGATGGTAACCCTTCTGCATCTCCAATGTTAATAGTCTTTTCTCTAAGTCATGCCTCTCAAATCCCCTCCTTAGATTCTGCCTCCTAATATTAGCACTTAACCTGTCTTTGTTGTGACATCTTTTGCTACCCACCGGCACAGGCATGGCTTCCAAACCCATTAACTTTGCCACAACCCCCGGTTTGCACCACACCACACTCTCCCCAGCTAGTGTTGGGGGAAAACAACACATACCCTTATTGTTATTATGATCTAAGTCACTAATATTCTCTCCTCCAAAACTTGTCTCACTGCAAACTGATCTTCTTCCCTCCATGTTTCCAAAAGAAGAACGGTACATGGCATCCCTTCCATCAAGTGAAAACCTTGGATACTGATTCAAGGCATTCCTTGCAGATCTCAAGATGTCAGAGTTGTTCACACATGACATCCTACCCCTCATTCCACTATACTCATTAAGCTTGGCTTTTCTAGCCATATCTTCCTCCAATTCTAGTTGTAGTATTAGATCCTCTAGTGTTGGTGAGTTTTGCTTTGAAGGGGGGGAGCTTAGGGTTACCTTGCTTGTGAAGTCACCTTGGTTGTGGTTGTTTTGTTGGTTGAGAGTGGAGGTTGAGCCGTTGTTGTTGCAAAAGGTTTTGAAGCCTTTCTTCATCTTGGCTCCCAATGAGTTCTTGAGGAGAAAGAAAGGTATGTCCTTCATGAGTGTGTGAATTCTGATGAGAAAAGGTTCGTGTGCGAGTGTGTATGAATCTGCATGATTTTCAAAATGGGGTCATGAGTTTTCTTTAGTATAGAGGGAAGTGTGCTAGAGAAAGGCATTGAAACGTGAATGGATTGAATGGGAGCGGTGTGGTGAGGTACTGAATGGAGCATTTTAGTCAAGTGAAATTAGATGAGAATTAATAGCTGTCACGTGATGGGCGAGGAAGGGTTTCACAAGTATTTCATTGCTTTGCTGCAAAGTTGTTTGGATGTTTATGGAAGGGTACGTAAAAAGGGCACCTAATGGCCTTTATGTTGACATCTTAACTTTAAATTGGTTGAGAGAAATGAAGATCATTGAATGAAGTTACGGTGGTAGAATGCGTCAAAAATACTATTTAGCCATCTTTTTCAGTCTTTGGTATATTAGGTAGTTCTAGTACTTGGGAGTAGTTGGTACTTTGAAAATTCTTCAAGTCGTTGCCACTCATTGATCAGTTAGCGAATTATAATTTGTCAAACACGGCTTTGCATGTCTTAATATCTTCCTAATTGTCAAAAGAATCAGATGAAATAATAAAAAGAAAATTGACAGAAAAACCCTGATTATAAGAATTAAAAGTTAATATTAAACAAAAAAACTGAAAAATAAAATATTTCAGAGTAGCATAATTAATAAAGAAAAGAAAATAGAATTAAATATAATTAGGTGTGTTTAGAGAATTCACAATGATAACTAGCTAAAAAAGGAAAAGACAACTTTTTTCCCGTGAATTTATTAAGATATCACCAAAAATAAAATTTATGATTATTTTAAACTATACAAATGTGTGTTTAGTAAAATAGTTTATAAGTTGACTAAAAGTTTAAAAGTAAGTTAAAAGTATATGAAATTATGAATTATACGCTAAGAGTTAAAAAAATTACAAATTTATAAGTTAACTGTTAGAATTGAAAGTGTTGAATAATATTAGTTGATAAACTAATTGATTATGTAAAATTATATATTTATTTGTTTAATAATAAGAGTAAGGAATAAAATGCATGTAAAATGGTTTATAAATTAAAAATGGTAAATAAAATAATTTTAAGTAAATTAATGAAGATAAAGAAGGAAAGAGAATAAGTTAAAAATATATTAGTTATAACTACTTCAATTAACTTATGGATATAAGCTATAACCTCCTAAATAAGGTTTTCATTAAGTAAACTTATTTTGGTCAAATTAGCATATAATTTAATCATAGGAACTTATAAATCTCCCAAATATCTTACTAAACACAATATCAATAAACATGTGAATTAACTAATAAGAAGTTATTCCAATTTAATCGGTGGTGTCAAGTTCTAGTCTCAAATGTACAATAGCCATGTTAGATACTTGGAGAGAGATATTTTGTAATCATGATAGTCTTTTTCAGTTTGAACAAGATTGAACCTAATAAAAAATAACAATGTATATAAAAAAAAAATACATAAGAAAGGTTTGTTTCACATGATCTTCTTCTATTCTTGATAATATGAAAGTAAAAATATTTATTCTAAATATTTATTAAAAAGTTATGCAATGAGATTTCTGAATATCCTTTATTCTTTAAAAAATTACAAGTTTTTTTTTGGCCTGATGAGTGAGTGAAAAAATAATATTCTCATGAGAATAAAGAAAGTTATTTTTTTAACACATTTATAACTTCATTTTCTAATTACTTTTTATTTAAATTATTTTGAATTTTAAAAAATATTCTCAAGATTACTAGAGTGTGATCAAACAGGGTTATAACATTTTGGTTAAAATATTCTTAGGAATGCCTGAAAATACAATATGGAACCCTGAAACAAACCCTCCCGTATTAAAGTTAACATGGTGAATTTGATTAAGAGTATTATATTTAACTGTATTACAGGTGTTTTAATGAATGTTGTTAAAAAATAACTAATGAAAAAAATTGTTAATATGTCATTGTTAAAAGTAAATGTGCTTATAGTAACATGACACAATTAAAAAATCTAATTGGTTGCCAGTGTAAAAATTTTTTACATTAACAATGTATATGTGATTAACTCTAAATATAATATATGTATCTATAAATATATTTGACATATATTTATACATAATTTTAATATAGATTTTGATTGGTATTCAATTACATATATGTTATGTCACTATATCTTATATTTACATTTTTTTTAGTAATTGTAAGAATAAATTTATTAACATATGCTAATATGTATTATGCGTCATTATAATCTACACTTATAAGATTTACTTTCCTCATGATATTTTCATCATATTTATGATTTTTTTATTCAAACATTAATTAGGTGCCTTAATTTGTTTATTGATGAATCTAATAAAACAAGTTGCACATCCTAAATAAATCAAAAAATAAGTTACAAATTGTATCCAAAAATTGAAAATGCTTATTATTTTAGAAAAATATTAACTCAAATTTAAAAGTTAAATTATCAAATTAATTTCTTGAAAAGTAAAATAGCAAAACATATTTTTATTTTTATAATAAAATAAAGGGCAAAAATATTTTTTAATTTAATTCATATAAAAGTATAAAACATTATGGCTTGGCAACGTTTGATTTAGGTAATTAATCCCACAAGTGAGAAAAAAAGTGGATTATTTTTACTGATATAACTTATTTTCATAAAAATTAAAGTGTGAGTAAAATCATTATATATTTTCATACTAATGATATGGACAAATTCTAAGGTGTTTTGGGAAGGTATAATTTCAACCGTTAGATTTTATGGTTGCAAGAGATGTAATAATTTTTATTGATTTTCTTTTCTCTCTTCCTCCCTCTTCAATCATCTCCTTAATGACAACCTCCAACCCCTTCTTCCTACATCTGATAAGCTTCTTCGACAAGTTTCTCTCTTATTGCACAAGCATCAAAGAACATCTGTGGTCTTGGACAATGTGTGACCACGTGAAGTTTCTCCATGACCTTATGTCGACGTAAGATATCTTTCGAACCCTATCTACTCTCAATGCAACGCAACCCTAGCTGTTTTTTTTTTCTATTGTACGATCATTGATGGAGTCTTCATTTGATACCCTCATTGCCAAATTTGCCTTTCAAATTTGTAATCTCTTGGCACAATCACTTTGAGTCGCAATCCCTTAACTTTACATGTTTCTTCAAGTTTCTTATCTCTCGTCTCATATTTTAATCATGGTAGAAAATCCTAAACCCTAAATTTGTAATGTCTCAACACAATCTTCATTGATTCTTGGTTCATGATATATATACCTCCTTTTTTCTATAAGAACACTTCCTTTTTAAAAAAATAAAATTTTAAAATATTCATAATTTTTTGTTTTAAATTTTTTAATTTTACATCCACAACATTTAATTTAGTACTTTTTTTTCACACATCTTTCCTCCTTTTTTCAATTTTTATATGCACCTCCTTATTTTTTCTTCACCCCACCTATTTTGGTAACATGTGAAAATTGAAAGAGAAAAAAAAAAGTGTGTGAATAAAAAGAAGAAAGTAGCAAATTGAAAGTTGAAAGTAAAATTAAATTTTTCTAAAAAAAATTATAATATTTTATAATTTTTTTTTAAAAAGGAGGTGTACTTATAAATAAAAAAAAGAGGTGTATATATTCATGAGCCTTGATTCTTTGGGACTAAGTGTGTTAGGCCCATTTCCCAATCAGATCAACCAGGCCCATCAAGTGTGCAAGAGGAAGTTATTACATATGAAAGGCCCCAAAGGATCTGTAACAAACCACCTTACCTTGATGATTACGTGACTGAATGAATTAGTGGCTGCATATCATTCAAGGGGTAATTCAGTTATTGTATGCGGGACAAGGTTAATAAACTTTTATTCCTTTTTCTTATGTCACGTTGTATGTAAGGTGCATTTATAGCACCATGAATTCAGCACAGAGGGAAACGAGAATATTTACGTAGCTATCATATCTTTCTTTCTGATACCCCTTTTATGATATTCTTCTCTTTCTTTCTGAAAATCCCCTTTCAACGTGCTTGGAAAAATTCAAGATTTTCTTTTAATCTTTGACAACAAAAAATGATAATGATGGAGGAGTGGTGGTGGCCATCGTCCGTTAAAAAAAACAAGGGTAGAGTTGTAAAAAAAGTTGAATGAGTGAGGAATTATCTATCGTGAAAGGCCTAGAATATAATCATGAGGATTAACCTAATCTAACGATAAATATAAATGGTACACGATACACTACTTATAAAAATGGATCACCGTAGCTTTCATTAATGATATGATGCATTATATCAACAATAAAGTTACTAATAATATATATCATTATTTTATATCAATAAAATTATCAATGCTCAAGTTCTATTATTTTCAAGAGCTTGTATCACATCTGTCATAGTTTCCATCCACCTACTATCCTCTACTACTTTAACATAAGAAAATGGTCTCTTTCCCTATGAAATAGAGGCAAAGAAAACACGATGTGCTAGAGAAATTAAAATTATTGTAATTTATATAATGTGATATATGAGATAAGGATTACTTGAGCATAATGTTCATGAGGATGAATCATTGGATGGGCTCATTCTTCTATAGTAGCGTGGGTCACAAATTCTTATGGACGAACAAAGGGTTGTTTTGCTCTATGTCTTCTACCCAAAAGAGGTTCCTTTTATGGCACCAATGTGTTGAGTGATGCATTTACTGCATTATAATTAGAAACCATCTATTTCACAGGTTTCTCATTTGGTTCACCCCTCTACATGTCCACTACGGTTACACTTTCTATAGGATATTGTTGAGTCTATTCACAAGTCACGTCTACCACAAATTCAACAAAATTCCCAACATTCTAGTCATCTTGTTCTTTGGGTGCATTGTCACCTCCGAATCAACAGTGCACACCCAGACCATTCCTAAGTTGTCTTCTTCTACCTCAAATTCAAGCACAACCCATTTATGTCCAACATCTAGAATTCTCATAAGGAAGACTTGTCCTCTAACGGAAGCCAGGGTATTCAAGATGACCAGTGCATTGGCAAACAATAATAACTATAGGCAATGTACGTAGATCAATTATTAAGTATGGAACAGGTACTGTTGGATTCATCCTATTCTATATTTAGCTCTACAATTTTACTTTCATGTTTAGGATGACATTGAAGTCGCGAATTACTTCCCGATAAGGATACAACACTGTTAAAAATGCACCATGTTGGAAATATTTTACAAGTTAC